ATGAACCTGTGTGTGGGGGCCGTATTCTCATTTAAACCACCACAGGTCGCCACCTGGCCTCAAGCTTGCTGTGTGGCCTTAAACTTCCAATCTTCCTGCCTCTGTGCTGCAAGGGTTGGGATCACAGGTGTGTGCTGTCACACCCAGTGTCATGGGTGCTGGGGTCACAAGTATGGATGAGTTTTTGGATCCTAATTCAGACCCTCAAGCTTGTGAAGCAAGCACGTTGTCTAGTGAGCTAACTCGCCAATCCCCTACATGGCCGACTTTTTTATGTGGGTTCTGGGGAGCAAACTCAGGGCCTCAGGCTAGCAAGGCAAGTGCTTAGCTCACTGAGCCATGGCTCTCTCCCCAGCCATAAGTAAGAAGGTAACCCTCCAGCACTCAGGAGGCAGAGGCAGGCAGATCTTTGTGAGTTTGAGGCTGGCATGGCCTACAAGGAGAATTCCAGAACAGCTAAGATTGTTACACAGAAAAACCCTGTCTCAAAACCCCCCCCAAAATTTTAAATTATATTTTTATTTATTTGGTGTGTGTGTGTGTATGGAATTATAGAGGTCAGGACAACTTTCAGAAGTCAATGCTGTCTTTCTACCATATGGAATTGAACTCAGTTAATCAGGCTTGGCAGCAGGTACCCTTGCCTGCTGGACCATCCTGCCGATCCCCTCTTCTTGTTAAGTGCACTGGCAATCACCTGCTTGCTCAGATCCGAAGCCTGGCATCCTCTGGCTCCTCCCATGTTAAGATTGTTTGAGGCTTAGCACATAGAAAAGTCACAGAGATAATACTGAGTTCCTATCTGTACGCCGTGTCCAGTTCCTCACCATGCTAATGTTTTGGACCTCGCCACATGGAAGATTAGGTGCTGGCATGGAGCCTTCTCTAGTCTCTGCTTGTTGCAGACAGTCTGTCGTCGGTAAGGACTGCTTAGTGCACCTCTGAGGTGCAGTCCATCCTCGCTCAGGATAGCTGAGCTCACCGCTGAGGTGCCCTGCAGAGTGTCTGGCTCCTGGGTTGGTTTGTTGGTTTTCTAAGGTAGGGCTGGGTTCCGGGTTTTGAGGGAAAGAGTTCAGAGGCCAAGAGTGGTTGTCATCACCACAGGAGACATGTCACCGGTGTTGATCTTGATCAGCTGCTGAGGGATGGATGTGAGGCTTCTCCGCGGCACAGTGACTTCATACCTGAGTCTGTGCTGTCCTTCTTCGCGGTAGTCACTCTGGCAGAGGGCACTCTACCAGTCTGTCTGATCCGATCCCATGTGCTCTCACACCTCCCAAGACAGGCTTTCTCTGTGTAGCCCAGGCTGTCCTGGAACTCACTCTGTAGACCAGGCTGGCCTCAGACTCAGAGCTCCAACTGCCTGCAATTAAAGGCGTGTGCCACCGCTGCCCAGCTCCCGCACTTTTTGTCTCTCCCGAAGCCACTGCTGCAGTCTGAGCAGTCCTCACCTCTGAGAGCCTTGGCTGCCTTCCTCTCAGCCCCTGAGTTTGTTCTCCACTTGATAGCAAGTGAGTCTGTTTTTAAAAAGATGTGTTTTACTTTTTATTTTTATGTATGTGTGTGTCTCTGCACATAAGAGTGGGCGGTGTCTGTGGTGGCATTGGATCCCTTGAGCTGAAGGGATCTGGGAACTGACTGAGCCAGAATTGTCTTCACAGTTTCCCTCTTTATTTTTATTAATTCTAAAATAAATAAATGTAAGAGCAGCAGACACTCCCTGAGCTGTCTGTCTCTCCATTCCTGAGAGTGGGTTTTTAATGGACCTGCCAGTGCCAGCCACCTCCTGTGCACTCCTTGCTTGCCTGCAGACAGCGCAGGCCTTGCTGCTGTGTCCTGTCAGCTGTCTGGCTCTCTTTATAGCGTGGGTCACTGCGAGTGCGAGGCACTGTGCTCCATGGGTGTCCACTTGTTTGTGGCATGGCTCCCAGGGTAGAGTGGGACTTCCTCGGGACCGTCGTGCTCTCTGCAGCACTCTCAGCCCTGGCACAGTCCTGACAGAGTGTGCGCTCACCCAGTGCCCGGCCTGCGGGTGCATGAACTCTGCAGCGGGTGAGCGCGCTCACCCAGTGCTCGGCCTGAGGGTGCATAAACTCTGCAGCGGGTGAGCGCGCTCACCCAGTGCCTGGCCTGCGGGTGCATGAACTCTGCGGCGGGTGAGCGAGCTGTGCTTTGTTTGGGACCAGCATGCTCTAGAGGCTCTGCTATCTTTGCTTCCCATTTTGTGAGGTTTGAAAACTTTGTTTTCAGTTAGACTCAGGCCACGTGAAATACCAGACGAAAAGCACTGAAAAGCCATTTATAGGCATTCTGAAGCCCTCAGTGGCGTTGTAGAAGTTATTCGCCATCCAGAGAACTGCAGTTAGTCACAGAGGTGGAACCCAGCCGGGCTCCAGGGCTGCAGGAATTACCCATGCGTGGGGGACACCCGAGTCCTCTGTCGCACTGAGGTATTAACGTTGCCGGGGCTGCTCTGTACAGGGGAGCTTTGGGCATTATCAGGGTGCCCATGTCCTTCCTGAAGCTGTTGTCCTGCTGAGGCTCAGCTGTTGCTGTCTGTCGTCGAGGCCATTGGCTGGAAATCCTTCTTCTCCGCTGCTGAGCTTCTAAGTTAGTGCTACTGCTGTCACAGGGAGCAGTGAGCCTCCAGGAGAGGGCCTGTCCTGGTTAGTTTCTTGACAGTTTGACACAGCTAGAGTTGTCTGGGAAGAGGAACTCGACTGAGAGGATGCCTCTATGAGGCTGTCTGTAGGCGAGTCTGTAGAACATTTTCTTGATTACTTACTGATGCAGGAGGGCCCAGCCTATTGATTTGGGTTCCACCTCTGGGTGCTATAACAAAACAGACCCAGCAAGCTATGGGCAGCACACTAGTGAGCAGCCTTCCTCATGGCCTTTGCTTTTTAGTTCCTGCCCCAACTTCCCTCAGCAATGGGGCGTGGCCTGAGAGTTATAAGCTGGAATAAACCCTTTCCTCTCCATGTTGCTTTTGGTGCTGGTATTTCATGTAGCAAGAGAAATCCTAACGAAGCGGCTGCTGGGCTGATTCAGGATGGGTTAAGTGGGTTAGGGATGGGCCTGGATGTGACACAGATCCAGGTGTCCGTGCTGGCTCAGCCACTCTTGTGACCTTGGGCAAGTCCTTGACTCTGACCTTGAGAAGTCTGAACCCCAAGTGGGCAGGAGGGGCTGTCTGCCTTGTGCTGGGCAGTGGCTGAGAGATGCTCATGACTCTAAGCACGTCTTCCCAACCCCACCCCAGGCTAGTGGAGGCTTCAGGGGCGCTGCTGTCCTGGCCTTCGTTCTAGAGCAGAGCCTCGTCACCATGGCTGGTTCAGTGTGGGCTTTGGCAAGTGTCTCGGTAAATATCAGACTGTACATGGTGTTCAGGAGTCTTGAGAACACCCACTAGGAGAAATATCAGGTTGGGGATGTCTTGGCACACACAGCGGTGTAAGATAAATGAGCCCAAATGTGACATTCGAGTCAGCTCTCTGCAGCCGGATGGGAAAACTTGCCATGTGCCTTCTGGCAGGCTGTGCCTGGTGGTTCCCGGAAGCCGGCAGCAGTGTGGCTTGGCAGGCTCACTGGGGGTCTTGATGCCTGTCCAGCTTTTATTTCTGTAAAATGGGCGTGGCAGCAGATGCTGGTAGGTGGGTGCCCTCAGTTCTGGGCTTGAGGGGAGGAAGTACCTGGATTCTCAGCGACATGGAGGAGGGACTGGTATTTTTTGTATAATGTGAACAAGGCTATTTACTTAGGAAATAGCAGAGACTAGGCCGTCTCCAAAAGCCATGTGTTCTCAGAACAGTGGAAGCGGATGGGAGCCACCGGCTGAGAATGTTCCCTGGGACGGTAGCTGTGGGGTTCCCCAGCCAGCACGGCTAGGTGAGAACGGTGACAGTAGGGAAAGCTGAATGAGACTCCCCCTGCAAAGACCTCATCTGGATCCCAGGGGAACAGGGTCGTGGTAACGTGAAGCTGACAAAAAGAAGGGAGGGTTTATTTTGGCTTGCAGTTTGAGGGCACAGCCCATCATGGCAGAGACATCTTTGAAGCAGGACCAGGAGGACCTGGTCACATTGCCTCTATAGTCAGGAAGCAGCAGAAAATGCTGGTATAGGTGGAAGTTTCTGTCCTACAAGCCTCTCCCAAGTAACCACACCGAGGTTTAATATCAATTATAAATGCTCGGCCAATAGCTCAGGCTTGTTACTAGCGAACTCTTATATTTAAGTGAACCCATATTTCTTATCTATGTGTTGCCATGTGGCTTGGTATCGTTTCTCATTATGGCATGTCCATCTTGCTTCTCTCTGTCTGCTCTAGACTGGAGACTCTACCCTTATTCCCAGCATTCTCATTTTGGCTCTCCTGCCTAACCTTATCTTGTCCAACTACTGGCCAGTCAGCTTATAAACCACTCACAACAACACGTATTCACACAGTGTACAGGAATATTCCACACGCTGGTGCCTAGTTCTCTCTCTAGTCGCCACATGGGGTGCTGCTACCCATGCCTAGGGTGCTGTGCCCCTCCATTAATCCAATCTAGAAGCTCCGCAGACATGCCCAGCGTTTGTCTCCATTAGGGTTGACCATTGCAGAGATCTACATGATACGTTAGGGCTCAAGCGGATGAGGTCTAACCTCAGCCTGGACAAATAGGGCCCATGGCAGGATGGAGAAACAGAGGACCAAGTTGGGGTCTGTCTCTATTGGGGTCACTTTGTCACCAAAGTGTAACGACTCTGGAGTGGGTCTGTGCCAGTCCTGAACTTACTGCCCTCTTTCCTTTCCATTTACTTGTTTATTTTTAATTTAAAGACAGGGACTCAGGTAGCCCAGGCTAGCCTTGAACTCAGTATGTGCTTGAGAATAACCTTGGACTCCTGATCCTTCTGCCTCAGTTTCCTAAATGCTTTGACCCCGGAAGTGCACCCCCACGCCCGTTCTCTTCTTTCATGTGTAGCTCAGCCCTGTGTCCTCTCTCCTCTCAGTACCCTGCGGAGATCAGGAAGTATGAGTATGACCCAAACTTCGCCATCCGTGGACTCCATTATGACGTCCAGCGGGTGAGTTTGAGCTCCTATTTTTCTGTAGTTTCGTGGTGTTGGACATAAAGTGCTGCTTAATAAAACTGCTGATTTAGCAAATGGCTCGGGATGAAGTTCTGTGGGGTTGCAGAACCAAATTATTCAGTACATTTGGTAGGGCCAATTGGAAGGTGGCCTTAGAGAGGCGTGCATCCCAGGCGCTGTTTGGGCGTGGCTGCCGCATGTTGGGGGAGGAGCCAGCCGCCACGCCCTCTGTCCCTTTTCTGTTTCTCGCAAGCCATTTCCTTAAAAGGCTCTCAGTTAATAAGCGAGGCTTTTGGAAACGGTCGTGCAGTGTTCTCAACCTGTGGGCCGTGGGCCGTGACTCCTTTGGGGGTTGAACGACCCTTTCACAGGGATTGCCTAAGGCCATGAGAAAACACAGACATTTATATTATAATTCATAACAATAGCAAAATTGGAGTTATGAAGTAGCAATGAAAATAGATTCCTGGTTGGGGTGTCACCACAACAGGAGGAACTGTAGTAAAGGGTCACAGCATCAGGAGGGTTGAGAACCGCTGTGTTAGGGGAGTGTCGTATTAACAGGCTTGATGACAGCCCTTGGATTGTTCATCTTTCATGCAATTGTTGCTCACATGTGTGCACGTGTTTGTTCTTAAAGGCAGTGTTGATGAAGATCGACGCTTTTCATTACATCCAGATGGGAACCGTCTACAGGTAAGCGTTAAGCGGCAGCTCCCTCACAGGTGCAGCCCAGGGGCTTTGCATTTCAGGGCCCGATGACTGACCAGGGGTGAGGGAAGTAGCCGTGTGTGGATCACTGGTTCTTCACCCAGACTCACGCGTTCAGGAATACACGAGAGGCCTGGTGCATGCTAACACTGTGGGTGTGGCTCATGCTAACACTGTGGGTGTGGCTCATGCTAACACTGTGGGTGTGGCTCATGCTAACACTGTGGGTGTGGCTCATGCTAACACTGTGGGTGTGGCTCATGCTAACACTGTGGATGTGGCTCACGCTAACACTGTGGGTGTGGCTCACGCTAACACTGTGGGTGTGGCTCACGCTAACACTGTGGGTGTGGCTCATGCTAACACTGTGGGTGTGGCTCATGCTAACACTGTGGGTGTGGCTCATGCTAACACTGTGGGTGTGGCTCACGCTAACACTGGGTGTGGCTCATGCTAACACTGTGGGTGTGGCTCATGCTAACACTGTGGGTGTGGCTCACGCTAACACTGTGGGTGTGGCTCACTCGTTCACTTGTTCAGGAATGCACGAGAGTACATTCCTGGTGCATGTTAACACTCGGGTTGGCTGTAGGAGTGCCTTCAGGATCTTGAGGGTGGGTGAGAAGCCACACAGGTGTACAGCTGCAGCCCGGTGGCAGGTGGTGGAGGGCATGCATGCCCTCAAGTCGTGGAGAGCCATTGGAGGAGGCTGGTTGGGACACTGAGGGAGGGTCCTGGGAGGAGGCTGAGAGGGGAGAGGCTGCTGGGGTGAGGGAGCATCTCCTCCTCTCTGTGAGGATTAGGGAGTCAGATACTGACTCTTTTTCTTGTTTATCAGAGCTTATAGAAATCTGATTTAAAATGAAGGGTTTTGGATGTTGACACTTTGTACTGGGGAGGGGTTCAGAGTAAAGCAAGTCTGCAGGTAGACTGTGCAGGGGCTGCAGCCCTGTGCCCCGCCTCCCCACGCCAGCTGAGAGGGCTCCTCACAGTTTCATCGTTCGCCAGTGTGGTCATGTTCGTGATTTGTTAGGTGCTGACACTGCCCCTGCTGTGGCAGTTGAGGGTTAGCTTTCAGGGCCCCCCCTCCCCCGCAGTCGTGGTCTCCTCACGAGGCCTCAGCTATTTGCTCCGGCAGTCACCCCTGCGCAGACTCTGTGTAGGCCTCACCCTGTGGACTCAGGCAGAGGAGATGTGCGCCTCCATTTCCTTCCTTGTACAGTGTTTGCTTTTTTCCTGAAACTTAGTAACTTTGTTTTTATTTGCTTCTTTTTCTGCCCAGGTATTGTTGCTTTTTCAAAATGTCATGTGTCAAGCATGATTATTTCCCAATAATTTAAAAGCTTTTTCTTTTTTAAAAAATGGACTCTGCCTTCTTGTCCAGTGTGGCTGCTTGCCAGGGGGCAGAGTTTGTCAGGGGGCAGACGTTGTCAGGGGGCAGAGTTTGTCAGGGGGCAGACGTTGTCAGGGGGCAGAGTTTGTCAGGGGGCAGACGTTGTCAGGGGGCAGACGTTGTCAGGGGGCAGACGTTGTCAGGGGGCAGGCGTGGGGTTGATCCCAGGACCAGATGCAGGTTAACTGTCTGTCACAGAGTCAGGGTCATCAGGGTTCTGAAAGCCCTCACCATGTCTTCTTTTGTCCCTCCCTCTCCACCTCCTTCCTGGCCTCCCTCCAAGCTTAGCACAGTGCGGTTCATCCTGCACTGAGCCCCATCTCAGACCCTGATGGCTGCCCACTGTTGGTAGACTTAGGCTAAAGCCTTAGGCACAGGGCTAGGCTTATGTTTTTATTCAGCCTGCTTTCAGCTCTTGGCTGCTTCTACACAAGTTTTGAACTGACTGGATTTGTTAGGACTCTTAGTTGCAAGTAACTGAAAGCTAACACGGTTGCATTGCTTCGTTCTCAAGCAGCAGCTGCAGTTGCATCCTCTGCTGCAGGTCTGGAGAGAATAGGAGCTTCCTGTCATTCACATGGCTGGGCTCTGAGCCTGACCCTGAAGTCAGCTGATGAGTGGACGAGCTAGGTGAAAGCTACTGCAGGCCTCTGCTTTGCATTCCCCGGAACTGCAGGCCTGTCTCCTGCTCCTCTCCCCGCTCTGTGGCTTCTGGGAACCCCCGTTTCTGCCCCCACCTGTGGCCCACTCTAGTCTGTCCTGTTTCATACTCCAGGCCTGAAGTGGGCCTGCTCTTCCGACCTGACCCCCATTCACCCTTCACCCGTGCCTGTGTCCCTTTTGTTTCTGTGCTAAGGGCTTAGGGCTCAGCAGGAGGAGCTGGATGAGGTGTTTAAGAAGGGACGTTCAGGTGTAAGTCCGGCAGTCTCTCTGCTGCCAGAGCAAAGTGAGTCTCCAGGTGCAGGGCCTGTCTCGGGGGTCAGTCTGACTTCCCCATGGGAGCCCCAGCTCTGCCGCCTCCACGTCACGGGTCTCAGCAAGCTTTGATGCTCTGGAAGCCCAGGTGTCTCTATAAAATGGCCAGCTCCAGAGCCTGCTTGTGCAGCTGGCTGTGAAGTGGAGGTATGCAGCAGGGTAGGAGGCAGAAGGGCCGTTTCTCAGCATGAGGTGAGGAAGAAAGCAGCAGTTCCCGCCTCGCTCTGTTCTGAGATCTGCTGTGTGGTAAGCCCTGTGGCTTGTGTTTCAGCCACAGCAGGGGCTTCTGAAGGACAAGGCCAGGCCTGGTGTGTGTGTGTGTGTGTGTGTGTGTGTGTGTGTGTGTGTGAGGGGGGGGGAGAGGCAGAGAGAGAGAGAGAGACAGACAGACAGACAGACAGACAGACACACAGACAGAGACAGAGGAGAGACAGAGGGATTGACCTTTTGGGGCTGGTGTGTGTGTGTGTGACTGGCCCTCACCTCATCGGATCCCCTTATGATTTTGCTTTTTGCTTGTTTTCTTCTTCCTATGGTTCTGTAGATGGCTACTTTGCAAGAGCTGTTCTCCACGGTCAGTCTAGAATGATCTGGTTTGTTACCAGATCTTATCGGATTGCTAGAGCACAGTATTCTTTTGCTCTCAAAGGCTAGGAGCTGTAACAGGTCAGCCAGTCAAAACCTCTGGAATGCACTAGATGCTTTTAACCCTGGTATGGGGGGTGGAGACTGGAAGACTTCACACAAAGCCCAAGCCACGTCTGTGTGCACCTTACTACCAGGCCGCTTTGCGCCTAACCAGCCTGTTGGAACTTGCTCTGACTGACTTGCCCTGTGGAAGGCAGCGAGGCCTCCTCAGTTCCCTAGTTCCCGGTTCTGTTCCTTGAGCGCCCATCCTGGGGAAGGGTGAGAGAGCATCCTCTGGTTTGCAGCTCCAGGTGAGCATGTGACACCTGCTCAGTTTGCTGGTGGCAGAGGCCAGAGTGACCTTTCCCCTAGAAATGCAGGAACTGGACTAATTTGCAAGTTCCAGGGCTGGCAGGTAGTGGGTGTGCACAGATGGAAGCCGGCTCTACGTCACACAGCTGTCCTCTCACCGAGTTTCCTGCCGTAGGGCATGAGGTTAATCGGTTTAGCCGCTGGCATGACCTTTTCCACCTCAGCACTCAATGTAGGGGACAGTGAGGAAGGAGGAGGAATGAGTCCGGCCCAGGAGCGACCTTGCTCTGCTCAGACGTGTGAAATTCTCCGTCCTTGGGAAGCCTTTCATCACAGTGGGTTGTGAGCTGTGGAGAGCCTGGGTTTAACCCTGATGCGATGTTTCCTGCTTTTGCTAACTTTGAGGAAAGCGTGTGGCCATTCCTGAGGGAAGAAGAGTAACTCTTAGGACAGGTGACAAGTAACTGGGTGCCCAGGTGAAATCCTCCTTGGCACATTGGAGATCTCATGTAGGATTGGTTTTGGCTGTAAACCTGGTTCTTGTTTCCGACAGAGACCTAGCAGAAGCATCCTGCCTGCTGGCTACAGCAGCTCCTGTGTCCTGCTTTGCCTCCCACAGGTCTCCTGCTGTAGTGGGAAACCCATCAGGAGAGAGCAGTCAGAGGCTGCTCTCTGTAGTGGAGTAGCATGATGACAGCATCTGCATTCTTTTCAGGGGCCTCAGTGTTGTCCCTGATGAAGAAGTCATCGACATGTATGAGGGATCCCACGTGCCCTTGGAGCAGATGAGTGACTTTTATGGAAAGGTAAGGAGAAGCCATTGGCTCATCTGAAGCAGTCGGCTTCCTCCTCTGATTGGCAGTTGTATGGCGGGGAAAACATCTTAGGGAGGAAGGGTTTAGCTTGGCTTTTGGTTTCAGAGATCATGGCTCTGGTGCTTCCGGCCTATGGTGAGGCAGAGCATCATTTAGAAGGGTAGGTAGGATGGAGGAAAGGGGGAAGCAGAGAGGGAGAAAGGTAAGGGTTAGGGGCTGAGATACACTTGCTTCCTAGAGTTGAGCCCTGCTTTTTTTTTTTTAAGGCAGGGTTTCTCTGTATTGCTTTGGAGGCTGTCATGGAACTCACTCTGTAGACCAGGCTGTCCTCGAACTCACAGAGATCCACCTGCATCTGCCTCCCGAGTGCTGGGATTAAAGGCGTGCGCCACCAACACCTGGCTGGGCCCTACTTCTTAATAGTCAGCTATGAGTTAGCCAAGAGATTAGCCTATTGGTGACGTTAACAGCCTATGATCCAGTTATTTCTCAATAGCACATCCTGGTAAGAGCAAAGCTTTCAGCACATGCTTTTTGGGGAGGGGGCACTTGTGGCTAAAGAAACTTAACTGTTGGGCTGGCCTGCCGTGTGTGATTGGTGGGACCCTGAGGTCTTGAGAGGATGTAGATCAGAGAGAAAGTCACCATTGGCTCTCGGCGACACTGCCTCTCTGGTGGAGGCTCTTTCCATCTTCTCAGTCACCTCATTTGTCACTGTGACCCTGGAGGTGTGGCTCCACCTTTTGGTCTGAGTCCCTAGAGGCTTCCAGAGGAGCAGCTGTGGCTGTCCAGAGATGGACTGAAGCAGTCTGGGGCTGAGGTCTGCTCAGCTGCCTTTGCCGGGCCTGACCCCAGCTTTTCTCACCTCTGTGACCTCCTGTGAGGGAGTGGCAAGTGTTGCTAGCCTGGGAAGGTGGGAAAGTGAGAGTTGGAGGGAGCCCAGCTCCCAGGCATGCATACCTGGTAAGCACCATTTCGGCGGAGGCCCAGGGACAAGGGAGCACCTGGCTTTCTCACTGTTGAAGGTCCCTGTGTGCACGGGGGCTGACTCCTGGAAGCCCTGCCTTCCTGGCAGCCTCTTGCTGCTTGGCGCCTTGTGATACGGGGTCTGTGTTGCTAACTCCCGCAGAGTTCTCATGGGAACACCATGAAGCAGTTCATGGACATCTTCTCACTGCCTGAGATGACCCTGCTGTCCTGTGTGAACGAGCACTTCCTGAAGAACAACATCGACTATGAGCCCGTGCACCTGTACAAAGACGTCAAGGTGAGGGCAGGGGCCAGGGTTCAGGGCTGTGGCTCTGGGCCTTTCCAGAGAAGGCCAGCTGTGTCTGGGTGGGGAGGGGGTCAACTAGTCTTTCGCTGGGGTCATCGGTCTCTGTGAGTGACCATGGGAGTCATAAAGGAACACTGCTGTCTCAGAGGAATCGGCAGCGTGATCTGTCACAGATGGTGCCCTCTGTGACCTGGACTTCTAGTCCCTTGGCAGTCCAGCATACTGTCTAACCCCGATCCTGCCCACAAGGAGGGTGCCTGCTCTCCACACAGGGGAGGCCACTGCCCATCTTCCAGCTGTGAGCCTGCCGTCACCCCGAGGGAGCCCTTTTCAAACACTTTTCAAATGGTGGATCACCACTGCGCCCCATCATGGGATGCAGCATGCTTTGCTGTACACTGTGCCCCAAGAAGATGCCCGGGGGTGAGGGTGGGGGCGGGAGAGACCTGTTCTTCACGCCCACAAAGGCCCCATGTGGCTCACCGGGGCCTGCAGAAGCCATGTCAGAATCACGGGAGGGCCACAGACCAGCACAAACACTGAGACACACATGTACACGCTTTACAAGTGTGTGTGTTTTGCTTTGTGCTCAGAGTCACAGTTTTATAGTTATATATATATTAAGCTGTGTCAGTTTTCTCAATAACTAGAAAATACATCCATATATTATTTGGTAAATAATAATAGGGTACTTTTACAGTTTTAAAATATAATCTGGTTTTCTTTAGAATGTTTATTTTATTTATTTTTATTGCATTTTAGTTTCATGAACATTTAGCACTTGCCTATTAAGATTATTAGGGTTCTAAATAATATATGTAAAACAGCACAATAACTTGCACATAACAATGTTTCAAATAATGTTAATTTCATGTAAATGTGATTATTAAAAATATATACATGTGTGTTTACATGTAGTGTTTTGGAACAATAATTTCATTTCATTTCATTTATCTATTATGTGTTTTTATAGCCACAATTTTTTTTTTAACCCTGGCTGTCCTGGTACTTGCTATGTAGATCAGGCTGACTTTGAACTCACAGAGACCTGCTTAGTTTCTGCCTCTGTAGTGCCAGAAACAAAGGCGTACATCACCATACCTACCATATATATATATATGTATATATATATTTGTATATTTGTGTGGGTGTGGGTGGGTATTTTGTATGCATGTATGTGTGTGCACTGTGTGTGTTTGGTACCTTAGTCTGTTGTGAGCCAGCCACAACATGGGTGTTAGGAATTAAACCCAGTTCCCCTGGGAGAGCAACCAGGGCTGTTAACCCAATGAGCTGTCTGTCTCCAATGTAAATTTTTGATTGTCTCGATTTCTGGGTTTTAGAGTTCAAGGATGCATTGTAGTTCTCAGCATTACTTTGATAAGAATTGGGCTAAGTTTAAATGTTTTTTTAAATTCTCTTGTTGTGCATACAGACATGTTATAATTAGGACTCATTTGTAATAGAGGAGAAATGTTTATTCAAGGTTGAGTAGAGGCTCTGTTTTGAGGGTTTTATATTAGCTCATTAAATCTTCGCATTGGTGCTTGGAGGTACGTACTACTATTATCACTCCCAATTTAAAGACACAGAGAGTTTGAGTGTCTTGTCCAAGGTCACACAGTAGTAAGTAGTAGAGCCTAGATTTTTAATCCAGGCAGTTTAGTTTGCATTTAACCTTTGCCTTCTGTGTTGCGTAAAATTAGAACAGGCTTATGCTGAAGGCAATTGAGATTAAGATTGTAGCTCAGAGTGGCCTACTCTGACAGAAGTTCACCAACAGTGTAAGACTTACACCCCTGCTCCTGGTACCAGAAAGTTCCCATGAACCTCCAGGAGTCTACAAAGGGCCTGCTACATAGTCCCCACCCCGCAAGTGGAGCTCTGCGGTGACACCTAGCAAGGTCATGCTGGCACAGCCCTGGTCTACAGGGGACTCTCTGCCTTCCTCTTTCTTGCATCTGCCAGTTGGACCTATTGCTGCCTGGTGACAGAGACTTGGGCAGTTTCTGTCTATTGGTAGCATCCAGAGAGGAGGTGTCTCTCTTGTCCCTCTGCCTCTGTCTTGCCTTACGGAACTGTTTGCATCTAGCCATGGGGAAGGAAGGGGACCACCTCCCTGCAGGTTGTCTCCCGTCTGTTTGTTCACCAGCCTGCATGTAAACTACTGTTTGTCACATGGGACTTCATTCAGAATTACACCCATGACCTTTGGAAATGAGGCTTTTGGAAATTGCTTTGGCAACAGCCTCTGTCACCGTGGAAACACAAGCTTTTCCTAAAGTGCCACCTGGGCTCAATGGGCTAGCATTGAGATGTGTTGAGCTTGGGCCGGCAGGCTCCCAAGAGAGAAGTGAGCTCCGATGCCTTGTCCCTGGGGCTGACTCCAGTCCCCTTGTCACTGATGACGAATCTGCCTTTTGACAGGACTCCATAAGGGATGTTCACATCAAAGGGATAATGTACCGAGCAATTGAAGCCGACATCGGTATGTACTCAGCAGCATCTGCGGCACTGCTGTGTGGGCATTTAAACGTCACACCCCAGGGGCTGAGCCGGGGCACAGGTGTCTCCTGGGTATTGTTTAAGGGCCCCGACCCTGGTAGTGCCTGATTTCGTCCTGACCCTGTGGACTTTTCCCTCACTCTTAGAGAAGTACATCTGTTACGCCGAGCAGACCCGGGCGGTGCTGGCTAAGCTTGCTGCCCACGGCAAGAAGATGTTCCTCATCACCAACAGCCCCAGCAGCTTTGTGTAAGTTCTGTTCCCTCCCAGCATCTGGCTCATGGCTCAGATGCCATTCGTCTTAGCAGCTGGAAAGAAACATTCTGCAAGCTTTAAAAGACGTCCGTCCCTTTGATGTCACCTCACCTTGTTGGTCTTGTTCCAGAGACAAAGGCATGCGGTATATTGTGGGGAAGGACTGGCGGGACCTGTTCGATGTGGTCATAGTTCAGGCTGAGAAACCCAACTTCTTCAATGATAAGCGGAGGTGAGGCCGGTCTGCTGGGGACTGGATTGTATTTCGTGAATACAGGGGAGCATGCTTTAGTGCAAGCCCGTCGTAGAATCATAAGCATCTGAGACACAGCTCTGCTTTGAAGCATCCGAGACACAGCTCTGCTTGTAACCTGTCTAACACTCAGCTTTGGGCCAGGTGGGCGTCCATACACAGCATTCTCAGTTCAGCGTGACTTGCTGTGGACGTGTGAGTCAGCCTTTAAGAACTGATAGACTGTGATGGAAAACAAAGATTAATACCACACAGCAAAGCAAGTCTTTGGCTCTGGATGCCTTGAGAAGTGTAAGAGAACCCTACCAATGCCAGGCTGCCTGCCTGGTGGCATCTCTTGAAATAAAGCTAGCTGGTGCATTTAAAATTGCAGCTGGATTTTGCAGAATTGTCTGCCATCCAGTGCAAGGCTCAGCCCTGTCTCATGTAATGTCCTCCAGCCTCCAGAGCTTTTGGGGGTGAAGAGAAGCTGGGGTCAGCACAAGAGTGCTAAAATGTCATTTAACCTGGGGACAGACTAGGTGGCCCCCACTCCTAGAGACCCACATTGTTGAGGATTCTTGTGATAACATTCTAAGTATAGCTTTTGTCTGTCTAATGGTCTAGTTTGGGAAGGTTTTCCCACACCTTCCTGGTCTGTGGTTGGTGACCAGCAGCCTTTCCTGTGGTAGTTCCAAGGACCCTAATGTAAGTTAGTGTAGCATGTGTACCTTCCTTTGGGGATGCTAAGTTCCAGTGTCCTAGGAGTCATAGTGACTCCCGCAAGAAGAGGCAAGCCCCCAAACCGAGCCTAGAGAATGAGAACGGAGGCCAGAGTCTTGCGTTAATCGGAAGCTACATGCTCATTGAGTCCTCACACAGTTCTTAGATTCCTGTGAAAGCTGGGCCTCCCTTCACCCAGGCTTTTCTGACGTGTTTGTCCACAGTGGAGGGGTGCGGGCCCCGAGTCTCCTGGGAGGGATACTCTGCGTAGCACCCTTTCCCCTTATTCTGAGTGTCTGCAATGGTAGCTGAGACATTCCCATTCCCTCTGTTATTTATAAAAGTCCAGCAGTTGAGGATGACTCGTTAATTCAGAATAGCCATGTGAGGAAATGTTAGGCAGCCCTTAAAGATGAGGAAGAGCAGCCAGCATGTCTTACTGCTAATGTGTTTAAGAATATGACATCACACGAGAGATTGCTGACAGGATGAAAAGAGATATAAATAAAAGTGTACAAAGATCTTCATGTTCCTCAGAAAAGGGAAAGTGGGTTTTGATAACTACAGGGAGCTTCTATTTTTGTGACTGGAGCAGCAATTACCCAAAAAGGCACCCTGAGTCCCATGGGCTGTGCCCTCGGGTGAGGGATGGGGCCAACCCTCCTTCCTGCCCCATCATAGCCATGCCCCTGCCGTCCACCTGGCGTCTGACTCAGGGTGGCAGCATTGTTCCTGTAGGCTTCCATTGTGAAGTAGATGCTCTCTGCACTGCCAAGTGTCCTAGGGAAACCTGCCAAGGGTTTTTTATTAGTTTTTTTCCTTAATCTTCATTACCTACTTGTGGGTACTAGGTCTTTGGGGGGGCTGCATAATATGCAGTGGGTTTTGGGGTTCAAGAACTACTTCATGTTCTCAGCGAGTCCTTGTTTGGTGTTGTGTGGAGTGGACAGTCTTTACTATTACCTCGCCTTCTGGTAACGTTTCCCTTTTCTGTTGTCAGACCTTTCCGGAAGGTGAATGAGAAAGGTGTCTTGCTCTGGGATAAAATCTACAAGCTCCAGAAAGGGCAGATCTACAAGCAGGTATCTGTGCCTTTCCCGTTCTCTCTGCTGCCTTGCTTTGTAGTCAGCGCTCACAGGGCTGCCGGTACCGAGACTGTTCAGGCGCTTGGCATAGTCCATCCCTTGACTGGCTGCTTATAATTAGATGGTAAAACTTAGGCCAACGTCAATGTAGTGTCAGCGTGCTGGTATTCTCCTGAACTCAAGGTTGACTGTTTTTAAAAGCATTTTCCCCTGTAAAATGTAGAGTGTCAGTTGTAAACCCTGGAGATTTCTCCTGAGGAGCATCGATCTTGGTCTGTTATTTATCCAACGTATTTCCTGCTGAGATAGTTCTTGTGCAGTTTGAAACACTTTGGCATCAGGAGATTGGGCCATGCTGACCACTTTTATGTCATGGGGGTTGTTTTCTTTACAGAACAATCTTGGTGGGTTTATAATAGCCTGCTAGATTTAACATTGAGTGTATCCTCTAGGCCTTGAACAACTAGTTTTAATTTAGGCATTTGCTTTTAGCAACTTTAAAGATTTAGATGTGACTAATAAAACTCCCTGTAAGGATGTTTACAGAATGGAGATGCCATGACTTCCTACCATCAGAACGTAGGCAGAAGCAATCAATTGTAGTAATCACAATACAGTTAAAAGTCACTTATACGGAATGATGGTCTCAGCAAAGAGGCTTATATATAATCTGAAATGTTATTGTTGCTTTTGAGACAGTCTCACTGTGTAGTCCTTGCTAGCCTGGAATATGTTGACCAGGCTGGTCTTGAACTCACAGGCATCCTCCTAACTCAGCTTCCTGAGTGCTGAGACTAAAGTCATGTCCCATCCTGCCTGACTGAAATTTTTCAGAGTACATTTGACATCAAAGAACAGTCTAAAAGATTTTCCATGAGTGCTTTTAGCTTTTATATTGATACTGGCAACAAATCATAAGGAGTTGAACACAATTTTTGTAAGTTTTAAAGCATAGGTATTGCAGACTGTGGGCTACTAGGTTTCTGACATGAAATGACCTACGTTCCCCTTTTATTGCAGGGCAATTTGTATGAATTTTTGAAGCTCACTGGATGGAGAGGATCCAAAGTGCTGTATTTTGGTGACCACATATACAGTGACCTGGCGGTGAGGAGCCACCTCCCCCAGCGGGGACTGCCATGCTCTTCCGCCTAGTGGGGGTCTCGTCCAGTGACATCATCTTTATGCTTCCCTTGAAACTAGGAGGGGATCACAGTTTTCAGTGTCTCACTTTTACAAAACAGGAAAGATCAGAGTTGTCAAAAGATAGATTTTATTTTTCCGCAATAACGGCAATTAGAAATGAATGCAAAGGCTTAATAAGAAAACCTCTATTTCAAGCACCGTAAGCACTAAACGCCAGGAGCCTTTCTTTCCCTTTATCAATAAGAAACCTCTATTTCAAGCACCGTAAGCACTAAACGCCAGGAGCCTTTCTTTCCCTTTATCAATAAGAAACCCTCTATTTCAAGCACCATAAGCACTAAACGCCAGGAGCCTTTCTTTCTCTTTATCAATAAGAAACCCTCTATTTCAAGCACCATAAGCACTAAACACCAGGAGCCTTTCTTTCCCTTTATCAACATGCCAAAAAGCTTCAAGATGGCACACGAATGTGCAAAGCCAGCTGGGCTCCTTTCGAGTGAGTCACTAGAGGAGTAGAAGCTGGCATTGCCAGGGGCTGGAGGAGGCATCAGATAGCCCTTGGGATGGTCATTTAAAACAAAACTGGTACCTTGGCCTGCCGTGAACTCAAGGGGTTATGATATGTGGAATAAGAATTCATTCAAGTGTGCTTGCATTATCTGACCACTTCAGACTTGAGGTTCTGTGGTTACCTATAACCCAGAGGGCCTGGTGCATAGTGGATGTCCTCCAGAGGTCTGGGAATTGCTGCAGTATTGAATAAAGGACACTCCCCTCAAGTGCCCAGTGCTGGGGATTGCGCAAGTGCTCTACCACCGGTTTCCATTCCTAGGCCTTGTGTTTATGGGGCTGCATCTCATGGTGTAGCTCAAGCTGTCCTAAATTCTTGGCCTAGTGCTGAACGGTGGGGTGCTAAGATTCGGTACCTCAGCTTGGATGAGGACCATTTAGAGCATCTGGGTTGGGCCTTCCCTGTGTCTGACCTCACAGACCATGGTTAGAGGTTCCGTACCACCAGCACCCCAAGTTGCCCCCAATCTCCGAAGCGGCTGTGATTCTTAGCCATTATTTCCAGAACAGAAACTTTCTGTGGGTGAAGTGGTCACAGCCTGGGGCCAAATTGGTTTTAATTAAGTGTAATTCATCCCATTCAACTTGGTTAATAACTAACCATTGCAGTTAAAGCGTGACTGAGCGAGTACCTACCTGGCTTGTCTGGGAGACGTAACAGGCGCACTGTTGGTTCTGAGGGGACTGATGTTGGCACCCTGTGGCTTTGTGACCAGGATCTGACACTGAAGCATGGCTGGCGCACAGGAGCGATCATCCCCGAGCTACGGTCGGAGCTCAGAATCATGAACACGGAGCAGTACGTTCAGACCATGACCTGGCTGCAGACCTTGACCGGGCTCTTGGAGCAGATGCAGGTTGGGGTGTTGCTTTTGTCTTTGTCCCCCCCCCCCCCAAGTCCAATGATAGTCCCTGATGAAAATGATGTTCTGGTCGGGTGGTGGTGGCGCACACCTTTAATCCCAGCACTCGGGAGGCAGAGACAGGTGGATCTCTGTGAGCTCAAGCCTAGCCTGGTTTACAAAGCTACCCTATTTCGAAAAACCAAGAAAAAAACTGTGTGTTGAGAATGATGTCCTGTATTTTCTGCGTAATTATGAAGTATAAGGTTTAAGTTGTCCTCAGCAAACTATAGAGTTACTAGTGGTTATCTTGTCCTTTCCCCTGGATGGGACCTTTACAAATGTCCCTGAGAGCCATTGGAGAGCCTTTGCAGGGTCTTAATGTAGGTGCTATTTTTGTTCCTTTGTTGGTGGAGATCTGCCCGCTAGCCCCCACTCAGTTGTCCTGGGCCAACCTCTATGCCTTTAGATGACTACAGGACTTCCCTGCACGGGCCTCAGTTCCCCCATCTGTAAAATGAAGGGTCTTTTGGGATGAACACGCCAGTGTAGCCACCAAAGAGTCACAAAGCAGGTTGGGGCCCTGGGTCAGCCTCCAGTGGCACTGTGATTAGCTACTTTCCTGAGTTCAGTGGCAAGTCATGCAGCCAGTTTGGGGCAGTTAGGACAGGATGCCTTTGTTACACTCATTTCCTAGCCCAAGCTGTTGCCCCTCTGTTGTGCCTGTGACACTTTTCAGGGCTCTCCCACCCCATCCCATGGGCCGCCCGTATTCTCCGTTTGTGTGGCTCATCTGGCCATGCTGTGGGAGTGAATAAAGATGCTTCTAGTTAGGTGACACAGTCAGCCGCTCTTGGCTGGCACTCCTGCAGCCTCTGGTCATGGCCGGCTGCCCACAGATTATGCTGCCAAGCTTCGAGGAGAGGCAGGGCAGGCCATGCCCTCCCTCCCAGGGTGCACATTCCAGTACATGGGGCCCCGCACGTCCTCCAGGCCTGGGCTCTTGGCTCTTGTGGTGGGGGTTTGTTTTGCTTTCTTCTCTGAGGTGGCTTTCTAAAATGTTGGATGTCAAGTCCGGCCTAATGCTGCTGAGGCTGTGCCTGTGTCCCACGGCGCTAGTTCTTATGTGCCTGTTGGTGTGCCAAAGGCTTGCACGGTGCACACACAGCATTCAGTCCCGGCTGTCCCGTGTGTGGAGTGTTGTGCCCACCAGGAGAGGGAGGGACCCCAAGGCTTCAAGGGGCTTAATGACACTTGAATGCAAATACGAGAAGGTTGTTTATTTCCAAGGAAAACCAGCTAGCTGGGGCTTCACTCTGTCGGGAGAGATGAAGTCCTGAACCACAAATGACAGGTATTTCTAAAGGGCAAAGGGGGAAGTAAAAAAAGGGGGGTAAGGAGGTCACGAGACCTATAATCTCATGTCTCAAAGTTCCGTGCAAAGTTACAAGGTTATCACAAGACAATAGGTATTGAGCAAAGCAGCTATAACTGTTGTGTATTTGAGGTGGGGGCTGATTAACGCGTCCTGTGGTCTGGGGGATTTGTGACCGGCAGATCAAGAGGCCATCTAGTTCTGGTTTCCTCAGAGACAGTGGGCTGGGAGCCAGTGTTTACACAGTTGGTGACGTGCCGAAGTTCCCTTTTCTTTTTTTGGGAACTGCTTGGTCCGAGGTTTCTTGCTTGGTCAGGGTCTTTTTAATTTCTTTATTACATGGAGCTGCAACCTTTTCATTTCAGGATAAGGAAGCTGGGTTTTGAGAGGTTAGTGACATGTCTGACGTCATAAACTGATACAGTGAGGCTCAGCTTCAGGCCTTGTGATGCCTGAGTCGGGGCTCCAGCACCTCCGTGGAGTGCTTGCTGCCTTAGCGGTTGTCAGGTGGGGCTAACACTCTGCGATAGTCTTATTTGTGTGCGCTCTTCCTGTGCTTTTATTTTAGTTGTCTATGGTTAGTTAAGTGGTCAAGAAATATGAAGTGGAAAGTTTTGGAAGTAAACAGTTTGTAAGTTTTAAATAATGTTTATAATATATTGTTAAAGCTATTGATTTTGTTGTTATTGTTTTCGAGACAGGGTTCTCTGTGGCTTTGGAGACTGTTCTGGAACTTACTCTGTAGATCAGGCTGGCTTCGAACTCACAGAGATCCACTGGCCTCTACCTCCTGAGTGCTGGGATTAAAGGCGTATGCCACTACCACCCAGCTGAAGCTATTATTTTATCATTAGTTATTAATCTCTTATTTTGTGCCTAATTTACAATTTGATCTTTGTTATAGGTTTGCACACATAGGAAAGACATATGTATGTATGGCTTGATAGTGCCCACGTTTTTGGGGGTTTGAGGACAACCATCTCACTGAGGTCAAAGGAGACTGCTCCTGCCTAACTTGTATTCCTTCTGTGACTGTGCAAAGATACACAGGTAGCCTGCATGTAATGATGGTGTGACTGCATTACAGTTGGCTCTGGAAACAGGTTTTACTTATTTTTTCCTCTGACCTATGAAAAATGCTTGATAGCTAAGAGAATGGTAGCATTAAAATATTTCTGTGACATACAGAGTGAGTCACACAGGACATTGACGGGGAAGTAAGAAAACGTGTATATATCCACTGTTAGCGTAGGATGCCCAGTTCTGCAGCCACCTCAGAGCCCCAAATAGACACTCGGACTCTATAGTTATGATACTGTTAGCTAGTGACTAGGGCTTCTTATTGGCTAGCTCTGTCTTAATTATTAACCCACAACTACTAATCTATGTATATCTACATGGTATTTTCTTACCGGAGAACGAGTCTGGACCTGTTACTCCTCTGGCATCCTACATCTTGACTGAGTCTGCCTACATTTCCCAGAATCCTCCTCTTCTCCTAGTCCCATCTTTCTTGCTTCCCTATTAGCCAACAGTGCTTTATTCATCAACCAATAAGACAAACATATACAGAAGACATCCCCATCAATCCACCCTGATTAATAGGAGAGGAAGCTGAGGCCCAGAGCTAAGGTAACTTTTCCAATTATGGAGTAGTCTGCAGCATGAAGCCGGGTCAACGTGAGGTCTGACTGTTTTAATGTTAGGGCCTTGTGTTCATTTCCTCCTTTCCAAACTCTGGAGTCAACCTGAGAGCACAGCCTGCATCTGTCCCATGAGAAATCCCTGGTGCTGGCCTTACACTGGCCGTCTGTCCTGCTCTTTGGTCTTTGTCTGTTGCTGTATCCCTTCAAGTTCTGATGCTCTGTTGGGTGTGGGTATCATGTATCAAGGGGCGGGGCTAATCAGTTAAACACATGCAGATGATTGTCTTTCCTCACTGCCCTACTGGGACAACTTCACCCCAGTCTGGAAAGTTCCATGTATTTTTGTTGATCTGATGACTCATGCTTCTAGAACTTTCCTGTGGAGGTGAAGTTCAGAATATGTAGACCATTATTAGGAAAATGTGTGCTGTGAGGTTGGGTTTGATTTGGGGAAGAACTGCAGAGTGTCTTAAGTCTGATGAGTTAAGCAGAAGAATGTGTCTTCTGGTTTTTTAAAAAAAATGACTATGAAGAGAATGTCCTTGGTTGAAGGACGTTTAAGATGGTCATGACTTGACAGTGAGAGCTGGTGTCTATAGACCTTTATGGGGCCACGTGTGGATTTGTAGGGTGTGTGGGCTGTGAACTGTGTCCTAGGCACTCAGTTTTTCTCGGTGCAGGCATGGGCAGTGCGAGCAAACTGCTGTGGTTGTCCCAGGAATGACTGTTGGGATACAGCTTTCATTTCATGTCCATGTGTGAGGACATGGCTCCTTTGTTTCCCGTCAGCTCACAAGCAGACAGTACTGCCTGGATCTGGCTTCCGGTGTTGGCCACTAGGCTGGCCTGCCTGCAGTGTCCTGTTCAGGCAAAGGGGGCGGGGGCAGTGATACATTAGCCAACCCTTGTTTTGCCCACACAGAGCTGATGGTATTGAGTGACAGCTATGGGGACAAAGATGACTGGTAGCCTGTGTTTCTGGTTAATTCTCCCATGCTAACTGCTCACTCTCGAGGAGGTGAAGTGATAATAATAAGTAATTGTTTGATAATTTAATAAATAATGAAGTAATAGTAAGCAATATTGTGACTAATAATTAATAATAATAATATTTAAAAGCAGACTTCAGATACTTGAGGCTTGTTTGACAGTGTGCCTTGCAGGGGACAGAGCTGGAGAAGGGATAGCACAAAAGAGGTAGGTTTTCTGAAATAGGGGGACAAGCAGGATTATATGCTGATGACATGGGTGTCGGCGAGGAGATTGCTAATGCCTAAGTGATGGACAAAGTCTTGGGAGGGTAGCCATAGCCAGGCCCAAGAAGAGGCTGTATCAGGACACAGAGTTGCCAACTTGGCATCCCTGCTCTGTGAATACTGCCTCGCCTTTCTTTATATTTCCCTCCAGCAGCCTGTGGCCAAAGGCTGCTGGAGACCACCCATCCTCTTGGATGCCCTCTAGGCCCAGGACCAGGGCTGGTGAGATGCTTCACTGGATAAAGGTGCTGGCTACCAAGTGTGATGTCGTGAGTTCAGTTCTGGGAGTCCAGAAGAGAACCTAGTCCTGCAAGCTGTCCCTGACCTCTTACGTACACACGCTGAAACATATACGCCCTCTCCCCAAGTATATAAAGTGTTAAAAAAAAAACTTAGGAAGAAAATCAGGACCAGTTGAAAGAAAAGCAGAGGCAGGTGTCAAGGTGAGTGCACGTGCTGCCCACTCTCTCTCTGGCAACGCTGGCCTGAAGAATGACCTCTGACCTTGGATATTCCAGCTGGCTCTTTCCATCTACACCTCCTGCGCTGGGGTCCATCTGAGGGCTAGGAGGGGAGAGAGAGGATTCGCCTGGCTTCTAGCAACTGCTTTGACAAGAGATAAAGTAGAGTAGTGTTGGCGACTCTCAGCCTTGTCACCACTCCCGAGACTCCTCCCTCTTGCAAGCGTGGCCCTGCCCCATTCACTCTGGGCTGCTGCAAGGGGACCAACACTTGTCTCCTGCAGTTCGGGAGACTGGGAAGTCACCGTTGACACAATCTGGCTTTACCTGGCAGCCTCATGTGGTAGGGAGGTTAGGGAACCCTGTGGTCTCTTCTGTCAGGACACTGACCTCATTAAAAACCGTGGTGTTACACTTGTTTTGGTATGGCCTGTTCCCACGGTGGCTACTCTCTTTTCGCCTGTTGCTGCACCACATGTCCCCCGTAGCCACGACCGCCCTGACTCTGGCTTTCCTGTTGCTGTGTAGCAGTGAGAACCTTGGTGAGCTCCCACACACTGGCTTGTGGGGAGTTGTCTGCCGCTTGCTTTTTGCCGTTTGCTCACAATGGACCCACAGGAGGTTCCTCAGGTTTCCTTTTCATCTGAGCTACTGTAACATCAGGGGTATGGACGTTAAGGACATCTGAATCCTGCTGTCTTGTAAGCTAAGCATGCCGGTAGCACTGGTTCCTGGGTGTCGTGGGCTTAGGACCTGTGGAAGCCCTGCCACACACCATGCCCACCTCTCAGCCACGTGTGCCGCTCAGGGAGGAGGGGCAGCAGGTATCGTGTACTATGTATTTATCACATAAGACGTGTGTAATGGGCATGGCACACGTATCATATGCGGTGTGTTGGTTCTCTTTCCATCAAGGCTAGAACCAGACCACTAGACTTTGGTGGCTGGTGCCCTTATCTGTTGAGTCATCTCCAGCCCTAAGCCCCACCTCTAATAACAGACAGCTGAAGCTTCTCTCTGTGTGCGCCAAGAAGCTAGGGTCTCACTTGGGAAAATCATTACTTCACACAAGTGCGTGCCTATTAGACTTAAGGACCAAGATTCCTTCAGGAAAAGTGGTCCATTAAGAAATTCTTACTGCTAATGAGTTTGTTTGAAACCAAAGCCCTGGGAACTGTTGTCTTATGTCCCGGCAGATCCACAGAGACGCTGAGTCACAGCTGGTTTTGCAGGAGTGGAAAAAGGAGAGGAAGGAGATGAGGTAAGAGTGTCGTATTCACCACGTGTGAATGCCTACCTTACCTTTGGTGTGTTCTGTCCCTCTGAGGTGACATCTGGAAACATCCCATTCCAGCTCTCAGGTGGGGCTGTGACTCCTGAGTATCAGGGTCAGCTGTCTGCTGATGGTGATGCCAGGCATTTCTTCAGTCAGCCGTGCTCTCCGTCTGCCCTCTGTCCTCGCCATTGAGAGCCTTGGGGCGGGCAGTGGTTTCCTCCTCCCCCTCCCTGCCTTGACTAGAGCCCGCTGTTGGGAGCTGGCAACACATGGCTGTCAGCACTGGGCCGGGGTGGACTCTGAACACAGGACGCCTCTCCCTGCTGGTTTAGGGATGTGCACCCAGCTTTTCTTGGTCCACAAAGAGTGTGTCCTTAGGGAGCAGTTGACATAGGAGCCTTGGTGACAACCATGCTTCCCTATGATGTATTCTCTCACACTCTCTGTGGACTGTATGCGGTTGTTCCTGTGCCCTGGAATAGCCTGGGATTTGGAAACAGGTTGTTTCTGGAGCGCTGGTTCCTGAGCAAGGCAGCCTGACTTGACAGGGGATGTTGAAGGTTCTGTAGAAGCCAACCCTGGCTTGAGTCCATCCTGCCTGTTCCTCAGCTGTTGGCTGGCTCAGGAGTACTCTGACTTGATTCTTTTGCTGTAGAAATGGGAAGTAGAAGAAAGAGGAAAATGAGACAATGGGATTGACTTCAGGGCCCCTGTTTCTGAAGGCCTGGGGCCCACAGTGCACGGGTTACTCACTCAGGAACCTAAAGTGGCACTTCACCTGCCAGAGACTTCCTGTTGGCGTCACACCTCCAACATCTCCACATCCTTTCTTTTGTTTTCTCCTCTATTATTATTTCTATCTAGATTTTTTAATGTGTAGGAGTGTTTTGCTTACACATATGTCTGTGCACTCATGTATGCCCTTGCCCATGGAGATCAGAAGGGGACATCACATCCCCTGGAACTGGAGTTAAGGACTGTGTTGGGAGTCCTCAGTAAAAACAAAAAGTGTTCTTAACCACTGAGCCATCTATCCAGCCCCTCCCCCTGTCATCTTCATAGGATGCTGCAGTAAAGGTTTAAATGCCATTTATGCTGTTCATCTGAAGAAACCTAGTTGGGTGTTTGTTTTATTTTTTGAGACAGGGTTTCTCTGTGTAGCTTTGTAGACCAGGCTGGCCTCGAATTCATAGAGTTTCACCTGCCTTTGCCTCCCAAGTGCTGGTGTTAAAGGCGTGCGCCACCACCGCCTGACTCCCTAATTGGGGTTTTAACCGCCATGGCCATTTGGTCATTGCTTGTGTCATTCTCCAGTGACAACTGCTAGTTACTGAGTGGTCTGTAACTGATTTAGCACCCTTCAGATGGCATTAATCCATTTTTCTGGAATATTCTGTGTAGGGGTGTGGACAGAGGTGAGACTCACAGAGGTCTGGTTGCAGAGGCCTGCCGCCTTGGCCTGGGTGGCTGAGGCTGCTGAGGGCTAGGCTGGGAGGGAGCGTGCAGAGCATTTGGAGGCCTGTCAGGGAAGGTGGTGACTCACACAGTAACTGTAAGTCTTCCATGAGAAGACTCGAGGGTTCACAGTGTTTCAGTTCTGTACCTTGCTCAGTTCTTGGTCTGAAACATGGAGAATTATTTGTCACAATACCTTCAAACAGCTCTGCCTGCTCTGATTGGCACACAGTGTGTGTTTGAAGAGGCATGTAATTCACATGTAGTGTTTTAAGTGGGTTAGTGGGGAATGTGGCCAGCTGTTTGAGACATGGCCTGGCAGATCTGTTTTGTGGTTTCTTTGTTTTGTAAGACAGGGTCTCATTGTGTAGCCCAGGCTGGCTTACTGACCTTCAGGCTTCAGCCCCCTGGTGCTGAGGTTATAGGTGTGGGCTCCATGTCTACCTCACACAGTTTTTTTTTTTTTTTTTTGGTTTGTTATTAGGTCTGCTCTTGGCTAACTCGCTACTTTTTCTTTCCATTAGCTCTTTTGTTTTAAAGATATTTGTACTTCAGTAGTTAAAAAACAAAACATTAAAAAACCTTTCTCTATTGCTTTGTTTTTATTTCTTGACACTTCAGAGAAATGACCAAAGGTTTCTTCAACGCCCAGTTTGGGAGCTTATTCCGTACAGACCAGAACCCAACCTACTTCCTGAGGCGCCTGTCCAGGTTCGCTGACATCTACATGGCGTCTCTGAGCTGTCTCCTGAACTACGACGTCCACCACACCTTCTACCCCAGGAGGACTCCCCTGCAGCATGAACTCCCTGCATGGTCGGACAGCCCCTCTGCCTTCAAAGCTCCACTGCTGCAGGAGGCTCAGGCCAAGTAATCCTGTGTCTGCCCAAGGAAAAAGCCAGAAGCAGCTATGGCCTCACAGAGGGTCCAGTGGGCCTGAGAGTTGCTTTCCCAAAGAGTCGGATAACACCTTTTGTATTTTTCTACCTTACCAGAATACCGTCCTGTCCAGGCAGAGACAGGAGCTGGCTGCTTGGGTTCTGCCCTCCTCCACACAGTGATGCGGCCTTGTTTACTATGGAACCGGTCTCAGGCCTTCTGAGACTGGTGAGACCTCTTGCTGCTGTCTGTTCAGCTGGCTAAGAGACAACACATCTTGATTCTGTGAGACATTTCTTGGTTGTTTACAAGCAGAGCACTGGGGACTGTAAGGACCTGTGACACCTGCAGCCAGTTCCCAGGCTTCTGGTGTGAGGGTTTTGCAGACTTTTGCACACGCTGCTCCAAGAGATCAGAGCTTCCAGAATGACTTTGTTGAGGAAGAACAAGAAGCGTTTGTCCTCAGTGTGAACTTGCTTTGCCTGCCCCGTGCTGGCGAAGGGGTGATGGGCGGGTTCCCTCCTCCTCCCAGGAATGGGTGAGGAGATGGCAGCTCTAGTTAAAACTGCCTTTCAGCTGGGGGTCAGGCATTGTAGGAGACAAGAAGCAAAGCTGTGGGGCTCAGTCTGCGGCCAGCGCAAGCCTGTGTGCCAGGGTCCTTGGGACACCAGCTCGCTGGTGAAATGTCACCTTTCAGGCTGAGAGCCAAGCTCACAAGAGGGGCTTCTCTTCCTCCCTCCCCAGAGGGGGAGGGATCCTTTATTATGTCTGCTTTGCAGTGTCTTTGAACATATTTGATGCCCCAGGGGCCATGGGAATGGCTGCTGTTAGGGGACACAGCCCTGTGTAATGTGTTTCGTTGCAAATGCCACATGAGTGCTTGTGACTAGATTAGCCTGGCTCATTCTAAGCTTCCGCGCTGATGTGGCGCCGCTGCTGCCGGAGCTGCTCCTCTTTCCCTGCCTGCTCCTCTCCTCCACCCCCCTCTCCCGTTAGGGTCTTGCTGTGGAGCCCAGGCTGGCCTTGGACTCAATCCTCCTGCCTCAGTCTCCTGAGTGTTGAATTACAGGCATGCAGCTGTGGTGTGGCGTATATTACATCTAAAGAGTGGCATGAACATGGAGGAGGCTTGTGGTGAGTGTTTGCTACCTGGTATCATTGCTACAATAGATCATGTAGACTGCTCACTGGCCTTTTGTAGGCTGCCTGCCAAAACACGGAAGTTAAACAAGCTGTCTAGCATTCACTGTGTTGCCATGGTGATCTTTGATGTTTGTACTGAACATCATCCCAAAGGTGACCGTTCAGACCGCCTCCTCCTGTGTTGTATTCTAAGCACTGGGGTTCAGCGGTGGTCTGCTGTTTTTGAGGGCAGGATGGGCATTTTCCTGTTTGCTTGTTCCCCAGTGTTAGCCACCAGGGGTTTTGGCAGCTGGAATCTAATGCCGGCAGGTGATGCTCAGTACTGCTCAGGTCTCGAAAGGGTGCTACTCAGGATGCTCCTAACTTGTGCTGTGTAGAGGCAGAATGAAGAAGTTCAAAAAGAATTTTTGGTCTAATGAGATACTCTTCAGCAGTGTAGACTAGATGCCAGTTACAGGCAGTTTGTTTACTTAAGAATGAAATAGAACTGCTCTCTTGAGTGCCTACGGTAGGTGACCTAAGCCTTGGGAGAGGAAGGCATCTCCTGGGTCTGAGCAATGGGTTTTACAGTCTATTCCTGTGCAGAAGCGTCACCGTCATGAGGACACAAAGTGTCACAGTATTGGGATCAGCTGTAGCATGGCCAGGCAAACATGCAGTGGCGGCCGGCACCCTCAGACCTGTGCTCTGGCAGCGTGGCCCTGTAGGAAGAACGGGAGTTTCCACTGTGGTGTTGACAGTCTGGTGCAGACAGGACGAGTCTTAACTTGTCACAGGGAGTCTTGGCTGGGGCCTGACTCCCTGACCTGGCTTCTTGTCCTTTGTGTGCATTTTGATAATAGAATACAGATTTAAAAGGGAGGTAGATTTTTTTCCACCTTTAAAAAAATCAAATTGTGAAGCAAATAATTTTTGTTGCTTTTTCAAGACAGGGTTTCTCTGTGTAGGCCTGGCTATCCTAGAACTCGCTCTGTAGTCCAGGCTGGCCTTGAACTCAGAGACTTATCTGCCTCTGCCTCCTGAGTGCTGGGATGAAAGGTGTGTACCACCCCACCAGAAATAAAATATTTTTGCTGTCTTTAAAATTATAGTTGCTTTTAGGCATTACATACTGATTTTCTAAGAATCCTGTGAACAAAAGTTCAGTGTAAGGGCAGTCCATGCCAGTGATACCCAGCCAGGTCTGTGGTATCAGCAGCCACCCAAGCAATTTGTACTGCTGGCTTTCCCCAAAGTTGCTTTTTCAGGGGAGTGCTGGCCTTTAAGTACTTTAGGTGTTGGGCATTGGAAACTCCTGCTTTCCTCCTCGAATAGCATATCCCCTTCCCTCCCTCCCCCTCCCCCTCCCTTTTCCTCCCCCTTCTTACTGGCTCTTTTCTCTCCCGCCCTGTCCTCTCCTCTCCTTCTTTGACCTGTGCTCTCTACCATGCCTGTCTCTGACCCCTCCTCCTCTGCTGTCACCATTAATACAACTGCTACACATCTGGTCAGATCTCAAACTAAATTACTAGCTGCTTTGGATGCATCAGCCCTCTTATTTATTTCAAGGGAGAAGTGAAAAACAGTTACCTAATTTATCTTTGGGTGAACGGAATGGTTTTCCCCTCCTCTCCTGTCCCCTCCCCTCAGCAAGTGCTAAACACTGAAATTCCACTTTGTCCAAACACTCATTTGCTGCCAAAAACCTACTTGGGGGGCTCTTGACTAAAATGATCAAAAGACTGAATTTGGTCAGTGGCCAAATGTAACTGCTTAGGGAGCCCGTCTGTGTTTTCTCTTTAATGCTGCTGGACCCCCCTCCCCCATTCAACCTGTAGTTACAGCTGGCCTGGAAGTCACTTTGTAGAACAGGTTGGCCTAGAAGCCATAGAGATCTGGTTGCCTCTGCCCTCTGCATGTTGGGATAACCGGCTTGACCACCATGCCTGGCGTGGTGTCTTTTTGTTTGGTAGGGTTTTCCTTTCTCCTTTTTTTCCTGCTGTTATGTATGTATGTATGTATGTTTTTGGGAGCTAGGTTAATCTCAGCGAACCTTTCAGGCACTCACAGGAATGAAGCTCTTCTAATAAGGGAGCCATTGCGACTGCAGGCCACTGGCATTGCTGCCCCTGTGGGGACGGACACACAGTTCCATGGGGATTTGATTCACCAGCACAGGCTGTGGCTAGGTGAGGCTCTTGCCTATGGCCTGCTGGCTCCTGCTTGGATGGCGGGATTCTTTGCAGAGAACACATGGCGGGCAGCCTCCCGGCCTGGTCCAGCTATGCAAGGTCTGGGGCAGTGTGCCCTGTCCCCTTGGGAGCCAGTCTGCCACATGGTTCTCCATGTGGCCTGCGGTCAACACTGTGTCTTTATACCTGCCAAGACTGCTTCCCTGTGTGGCTCTGGGCTGCCTGCTGTTGCCCTTGTTAATACTGGGCTGGGCTCAGGACTGATGGCTAATTCTTCCCAGCTGCTGGGCGTGCAGCTGGCTGGTGTGCTCTTGGAGTTTCCTTGATGCACAGGCCTGCCTTGCTCCTGATCACAGGCCTTTCCTGGGGATGAATGATCCATGACTGTTCCATGTGAAGGTACTCTGGCCTCTCCAACACTAGTGTGTGACAGCTCCAGAGCTCCCTCTGGGGCCACCAAGACCTCCTTGTCCTTGCCTTGCATCTCAGAATCCACCCTGCCAACTGGCCCGCCCCTTCCCTTCCCAGATGTCACTCCCAGCAGAGCTCCATGTGAGACCTTCTTGCATGAAGCTTTTGTTTCCAGTCTCCTCCTTCAGCACTGCTCTTGTGTCTAATGTTAGTACAAGTGTGAGCTCCAGTGTAGTTAGTACCTGTGTAGTGGAATGATAGATTGTGCCTGTGTGGTACCAGGCACGATAAATGCAAAGTAGGTTTACTATTTATTTGGAACGTGAATTTGCTATTTATTCTACATGTTGATTATATATGTTGTGATAATGAACTTAACAGCCAAATAAAGCTTGAATTGGATCTCCTGGTCTACTGATGCACCATTAGTTATGTGTACTTAAGTCACTAAAATATGGTTTCCCCCAGGATTTGAGGCTCTTCTACTGAAATAAATCAAAGATTAAAAATAAAACAAAATCCTAGCATTGGGAGTGCAGTTCCGTGATAAGAGTGCTTACCCAACTTGCTTGAGGCCCTGAGTTTGATTCCCAGCACCCCAAAAGAAGGAATCTAATGGACCCACACAAGGGGATTGAGACAGGGTAAAGGGAACATTGTTTCCCCAGCTTTAAGACTGGAGATTGCTGGCAGAAACTTGTGTGAGTTCTGTGTTGGGCAGGCAGTGGGGGGGGGTACACCATCTTGAACAAGAAGAGGCAGTTCACCTGTTTGCTTGTGTTGTTACCCAGGAAGCTGGGACATACTGAGGAATATTAGAAAAGTTTGTGCTGGGTGGTGGTGGCACACACCTTTAATCTCAGAACTCAGGAGGCAGAGGCAGGTGGATCTCTGAATTCAAGGCCAGCCTGGTCTACAGAGAAAGTTCAGGAAAGCCAGGGCTACACAGAGAAACCCTATGTAAAAACCAAACAACCCCCCCATTTTGCTACTGGGTTTGGGTATGTGTATAAATCTTTACATGGCATATGTAACATGTAGCCTTCCAGCCAGCCGCCTGGGCCCCGCAGCTGTCTCAGCTCCCAAATAACACACGAAACACTATATTAATTATGAAGCTGTTAGCTGTTTGCCTGGTTTCTTATTTGCTAGCTCTGAGGTAATTATTAACCCATAACTGCTAATCTGAGTATTTCTACATGGTCTTCTCTTACCAGAGAAAAGGGTCCAGACCTCTTATTCCTCCCGTGTCCTACATCATGACTGACTGTGCCTCTTTCCCAGAATCCTCCTCGACTCCTAGTCCTACCTATCTTGCTTCTCTATTGACCAACAGTGCTTTATGTAATCAACCAATAAGACAACATATACACAGAAGGAGGTCCCCATCAGTCATGTATGTGTGTATGTATAGATTTAGCATCTATACTAGCACTTACTTCTCATTGTGTTAAATGGACCCTCGTCTGTGTCCCCGTGCTCCCCAGGGTGATCACTTACATTCATGCTGCGATGATGAATGTCACAAAGCCACTAGCTGATTTGTCCCACACTTGACGTTTTGGGATGGTTTCCTGGAAATGTGGCTTTGCTCCTTTATCCTCTGCAGAGAATTGGAACAGCTTCAGTTTCCTGGAGTTGAGAGAGGCCTTCAAGACATTTTATGGCTTTAAGACTTTAGACTTGGCTGGACCGACAGCCTCCAAAACAATACGGAGAAACCCTGTCTCGTAAAACCACAAAAAAAAAAAAAAAGACTTTAGACTTGACTCAGCAAACCTCAAATAGAATAGAATGAGGTGATATGGGGTATACAGGCAAAAGAGAGAGGAGCCTGTGGTCTGTTCAAGCCAGCCTTCCACTCTGTCCCCCATAGTGACTCCATTGTGCTGACACTGTTACCTTCTGATGGCTGGGAAATGATAGGTGTGGGGGGGGGGGTTGGACGGCACTTGGATGCTAGAGATGGCTGTTAAAGCATGCTGAGTATGAGCAACTGTCCACAGGGAGAAAGGACCAGAATTTTACAGTGTATTGAGATCTCCATCTCAAGTCCATAGATGTGAGTTTGCAAGCCCTGGGCTTGGGGAGACAGACAGAGCCTTAGTTCAGCCTAGTCCCAGGAGTCGTGTTGCCCAGGGCTGCTAACAGCCACTCTGAACCTCTACTGCTCATCTGTAACAGTGACTGGACTGGGGCTTTCAAAGTCTATCCCCCCTCCCACATCTCTAACTCAATGAAAAAATCTTTTGCAAAGTTGGGTATGGTAGCTTATGCATTCCGGAGGCTGCAGCAGGGGAATCTGGATTTTAAGGCCAGCCTGGACCATGCAGGGAGGAGAGGGACGGAGGCAGAAGTGGGCGGGGTGGTGGTAGCGGCAGAACAGATGCTGTGGTCAGGGTGCAAATCACGCCTCATTTTCTAATGATGTCAGGGAACATTAGTGCCCAGAGCAACACTGCATCTTTTAGGGGTGTGTTGCATGGACACCACAGCTTGGTCACATCAGATGATGGACATTTGGGGTATTCTGCTTTGGGGCTGTTATGAACAATGTCACCATCAATACATGCGACTATGGGCTGGACATGTTTTTCACCTCTCTTGGGTATGCATCTGTGAAAGGTAGTTTTGGTTCTGTGTTAACCCTGTTGGGCTGTCTGAGGAACGGTGAGACTCCTTCCCGCAGTGCCTCCACTTTACATTTCCACCAGCAAAGCAGGCGCGGTCTCCACACCCTCATGGATGCTTGTCTTCTGATAGACCATTTGGTTATCGCTCGCCTAGCAGCTGTGAAGTGGGGTCTCATCTGCTTAAAGTAAATGAGTTGATAGATTGTCTTTGTCCCACCAGGTCCTGCTGCCCTCCACCCTCAAATGAACACACAGAGATGCTATATTCATTTTAAACGATGGCTGGTGGCTTGGGCTTCTTTTTGGCTAGCTCTGTCTTAATTATTGATCCATTTCTATTAATCTATGTATTTCCACCTGGTCTACCTATGTTTCCCAGAATTCCCTTCATCTCCTAGCCCTGCCTATACTTCCTGCCTGACCAATCATCCAATCAGTGTTTTATTCATCAACCAATAAGAGAAACGTATACAGAAGGACATCTCCCATCATACATGCAAGGAAACAAAACTAAAGAATTCATGAGACAAATGCTGGGACAGTTGAATAAGTGTCATAAGTGTAGTTGTTTTCATAGCTTGAGCCCTCCAACACACAGTGACTTTTTTTTATTCTGTAACATTTATTGAGCAGGTACTTCTGGATACAGGAATACAAAGTACATGAGGTAAAGCCATGCCTTGGACCCTTACAGTAACAGGGAAACACCACAGGACCACAGTCCCTTCAAGAATAGGCAGGGCAGAGCAAGGCCCCCGGGATGTGCCAAGGACAGCAGAGGTCAGAGGAGGCAGAGGCCCCCCGGGATGGCCCTGGCAACACGGCACCTTGCCCATGGAGATAACCCTTATTAACCAGAGAGGTGAGGTATGCTTTCTGAGTGTATCACTGTTTAGACAGTAAACGATCCGAGAGACAACTGCTGTTGAGCATTCACAGTGGGACCATGATGGCTCGGGTTCACGTGGCGCTGGCTGGCGGCTGGCGGCTCACATCAGGACCTCAGTGCCCCCAGAGGGTCGCTGCTCTCCACCTCCTGTTCTTCATAGTCCTGGAAGGCAGAGGGCTGTGATACTGGGGTGGGGAGGCTCCTTCTGCAGCTGTCCCTCCTGGGGACCCTGGTCTGCCCTGGGGCCTAAAGTGTGCCTTGCCCCAGGTGCACACATCACAGGAGCCTTCAGGCTCACTGCTGCCTCAATGGGGGTGGGAGGGGGGGAGGGAGGGAAGGAGGGAAGGGGCTAGTCAGGGCCACTTATGTTGGGGCTGCACAAGCATGATGGTGGTTCCCATCTCCAACAGCACCACGGGAATATTTACATCACTAGGAAGGTGAGGGTTAGCGAGTAGTGATTGAAATCATAAACTTCATAAGGAAAACACTAAAGCAGGTGACTGCAAGAAGGCGCCACTCCCTGCCAGAGAGCCCTGTTAAGCCTCCTGCTATCACGAGCTGAGTGGCACCGAGGGTTTGACAAGCAGCACGCCACAGGTTAGCAAAGGTTCCTCAAGGGTGTTTGGGATGGACAGAGTTGGGGCTGGTGCCCCACTCCAATATAAAAGTCAGAGCATGTAGCCTGTTGGTGTCCTGGTCTCAGGGGACCTATTACTAGAACTTTTTGGTCACTGAATCTAGCTGAACTCTGCTTCTGGAATGTGCTCCCTTTGCTCCAGGGGACATGCATGAAGCTGACAGTACCCTTGGAGAAGGCACAATCTGGGAGGTGTGGAGTGCACGGAACAGTTTAACGCCCCATCCTCCACAGACTTTTCAAATGATGGCAGCTTCAACAAACCCGCACTAGTGAGTAAACAGTCCAGCAGAGGCCACTGTTGAAATCTGGACACAGTGTTTTTATGTGAGTTAAAAAATAAAGTAAGATTTGTGACGTGGTTATTTTCAACCTGTTGAAAAGACAATTTAATCTGCAATCATGCACACTACTAGTCAAGGATACCAACTCACTGTTTACATCTATTGCAGTAAATAACCTTAAAGTGTTTTTGCAAGAAAACTTTGTAGTTCAGTGACAACCTGTAAAAATTCAACTATACAGCCAGGTGTGGTGGCACTTGGGAGGCAGAAGAGGGTAAACCTCTATGAGTTCTGGATGATCTGTCCTACATAGTGAGTTCCAGGACAGCTGAGTAAATAAATACTATGTGTATTTGATATAATGGGGGTTTCCACAGTCAGTTTGTAAAAATTGAACTATACCGTAATTTGTGGGAGAAAAATGCATTCTAAGCACTAAACTGACGCAGCAATCTGGCTTTGGCTAATACTACACAGGGTTGGCAACCCAGAGAAGCCAAGATTCAAATTTTCCCTTGGGCCAAAGACACTCCTGGCCATAAGGCAGCCTCTAGTTTGAGGCTGAGCACTCTGAACAGAAAACTATCCTCTGGGTTTGCTGTCTGAGGTACATCCTAGAGGGGTGGCTCTTCCTGGGGGCTGCAACTCCACTGAGCTTCGTTGGAAGGCAGCATACTGCACGCCAACTGAGCCCTGGCCTAGAGTGAAGTGCAAACTCACTGTGAAGGGGTCACCGGAGGTCTCTGGGGGTGCCGACGCTGAGCTCTCATACACAGGGTTTGAGATATTCTCAGGCTGCTGCTTGCCAAAAGCCAAGACGTCGATGTCCTCTTCTGACTATTAAGAAAGAAAACCACAGGGGTGAGAGGCAGGACTGTCCCCAAGGCATTCTTCACATCAGAAGTCTTTTCAGCAGTGCCGTTAAGATGACTGATGTGTGACAGAAGGCACTGGGC